GAATACTTTACTATGCGTAAAAACAGCGTTTTTCAAGATGGCTGACGTTTCTAAAAATCGCGCCAACAATTGCGCCAACTTAAATCGCCAAAAATCCGTGGAACTGTCTACCAAAGTAGTACCGAAGTCATAAATAATATTTAAAACACGGAATTTATATGCACAATAAAACACATTATTTTTTAAATAAAATGACAACAAAGTATCGGTTATCATAAATAACTATTTAGCAATGGGGTTACCATAAGTTGTATTACTCGCCAAAAGAAAATCGCCAAAATCGGTGCAACCGGCTACTAAAGTAGCACCATTTTCTTTTCGCCTACGTTCTTCAATTTCTTCTTGACGTTTTCGTTCTTCAATTTCTTCTTTTCTCCTACGTTCTTCAATTTCTTCTTTACGCTTACGTTCTTCAATTCTTCATTTTCCTTTTCTTTCATTTATATAATGTTCAACCATTCTTGGCGCATTCTTTATCGTACTCTTGCGAGCCAAAATTTTTTTCAATCGCTCATTTTATGACTCTCATTTTATGTCTCCCGATTCTTCAGCTAATTTCTTAATCGCATGTCCTTGCCTTACCGAAAATAGACATTTTCGTACTCATTAAAATGCAAATTAATATATATTGCTATTATTATTACTTCCCATTAGACAACTTAATAGAACACAGTTATTGGTATTTTATAAATTTGTTGACGTTCTAAAATATTCCAATTTAAAGAAATTAAAAAAAATAAACCTCTTTCCAAAAATGAAAAAAAAGTAACAGAATTAAATTCTATATAAATAGGTTACATCAATCAATGCACATACCTTGAAATTCAAATTCGTTTCAATTTATTTACGTATAGCAAATTCTTGTAGCTTTAGGCTTAGGTTTCAGAATAATCCCGCTTCTGATTTATGTTAACTTACTTTTGTAGTTAAATTAATCACTCGTCAAATGGTTTTAAAAGACAAACATTTATTTAAAGATAATTCTTAATAACTTACACGTAACGTATTCATAAACGTACATAACATAACAAACGTACTTACTGCATCGTACCATAAAACATTTCAAGCGTACTTCATCTCCATGTATAATTTTTTTAAATTATAAATAGAACGACATCCAGAAATTAGCTGTTGCCATTTTTCTCAATAGATATTTTGTCTAATAACAATTAAATAATTTACAATCGTGCTTACACTCGTTTTCTGCAGAAATTTGCACAGATGTTTCATAAGTAATTGATTTCTTCATTTCGGTCTTAACACAGCTTGTTATAAGCACCGTGCTACCCGGCATTTTTTAGATAAATATTGTTCACATGCTTTTCCATGAATAACAAAACACCCTTCTTGTTGATATCAAGAAAAGAGAAATCATTTCCAAGCGTATTTTTTAATTTCTCGCAATAACCATAAATTTCTAAATTCGAAAAATCAATTAATTTCAGCGGAATCAAGTATCACTCCTAGATACTTATGTGGCGACTCTGTAGACAGACAGACAGACAGACAGATGTCTTTTGTTGCACCCGCTAAGTTTATGCACCGATGGGCGAAAAATCAAGCATAGGTGCGAAGGAAAGGTATATAGAAAGGGGGGCAATTTCGTATTTCAGAGGAGAGTAAAAAGGAACTTCGTATATTTTATACGAGTTCGAAAGGCCGGAAGAAAAGATGGGACAAATAAAGTAAAAAATAAATGGCCCAAAGTAATGGAAAGGAAAAAAAATTATTTATAAGTAAAAAAAGGGCCTATAGAAGAAAAGGAAAGGAAGTAAGAGAATTTTTTGTAAAAAAAAAAAAAAAAAAAAAAAAACCGATTGTGTTCATGAGTGTAGTCAAAGTTGTTATCATTTACATTAAATAGAGTCTTCCAGGTGTGTGTAATGAGTGTGTTTTGTAAAGCTGAATGATGTAAAGATGTGGGAAAATTAATAATAAAATAATAAATATTGGGGGTCGAGTCACATAAAAGTATAAGTCAAGTTTAGAAGCTAACTTTTGCTATAACAGGGAAACTAAAATTAAAAATTTTTAATTTAAACTTTTTTTTTAACATAGAAACCAATATTAGCCTCTACCTTGAGACACAGTAACAGAGACACATAAGATCAGATACAATAATATCATGCAAAGTTATATATTAAACTAAGTAACATCACCTATTGCCGTTCAACTATTATATACTCAAAAAACACCATCAGATAAAATCATAAATCCAAACAAGGCGAGAACATATCAGCAAAAATAAATAAGTAAATAATTACGGAGTTTTTTTATTAATTAATTATTTTTTTAAAATAAGCATTTTATTTATTTATTAAGTTAATGGTCATAATTTATTATATGTATACTATTTTATTCAATTTGAGGCACACTGTATTAATATATGCTTTTAATTTAAATAGATAGGAAATATAGATTAAAGGAGCAAAAACTACAACTCTATACATTCATTGAGGCCCGAGATCGTGTTTTTCCCTCTCGAGAAATTCCTCAAAGGGTAGTGCTAACACTACTGATAAGGGCTGCTGATAAGGATAGCGTCCCTACGAGATGGTAACCAAAAAAAACCACATGATTTAAAGCAATTACTAAGTATTTAATGCCAGAACATAATAAAATGAGAATAATAATAATAATGATCATAATAAATAAATGAATTTAAAGGTAGTGACAGATATTTTGATTTAGCTTAGAGAAAGAAGTCTACTTTCTGAACGCTCCGTCTTAGTGCGCAAAAGATTGCAAGGAAGACAAGACCCCAGGTACAGGAGAACCCGGCCTTGAGATCGAGACAATGCAGAGAATATTTCGCGAAAATTTTCTTAAATAAATGAAGATTTTCCGGAAAACACCTTTGAAAATTCAGGAGCTCTTCCAAGATCCTGCCTCCATCGTACGTGATCACAGCGCCCTGTGGCGACTCTGTAAACATGTAGGGTTAGCCGAAATCACCTTCGGTTACAGTTAGTGATAACGGCGCGCGGTTGGCGAGTACAACACATGTTTACAGAGTCGCCACACTTATAAGTAGGAACCCAGGGAATTGGTTCTCCGAAGAATCGCAAGTTAGGTAAATTGAGGTGAGTTCTTCTGATAAATAAAGTGGCGGCACATTTTGCGACATTAATTTTGATCTTCCACAGTCCGAACCAGAGCTCTAGGTTTGAAAGATAATTCTGCAGTGCAGAGATTACCGTGGTGAAGTTGGAATGTTGAGATATGATAGCTTCTTCGTCTGCATATAAAACTAGATTTTTTAGGAATATCATTTACAAATATGTTGAACATTTGAGGCGAAAGTAAACTTTCCTGAGGGACGCCGGCATAGATTGGGCGGGAAGATGAGTATTCGTGGCTAACTTTTGCACTCGAAAGCATCTACTTGTCAAGTACGAATTGAAAATTTTAATGAGTTGTGCCGAAAACCCAAGCCGCAAGAACTTGTAAATAAGCCTGTCGTGCCAAGTTCTGTCGAATTCTTTGGCAATCTCAAGCTAGACAATTCCAGTTTTCTCTCGTTTGCGAAAGACTTCGTGAATGAATTCTACTACACGGAGTAACTGGTGTACCGTGGAGTATTGAAGCCGGAAGACAAATTGTTACGGAATTACTAAATTTCGATCACGGCAAATTTCAAAGAGATGATAATAGGCTAATTGGCCTGCAGGTGACCGGGAGACTTAAATTGCCGAATCACATGACAAAGTAAATATAAAAACTCAGACTTCCATAATTACAGTTGAATTATGCCAACGGAAGTAAATATCAGTGACAAATAAAAGACCAATAGAAATTGGTTGTTAACATTTTGATTTAAGTTCTTTACAGTTCTCTTTTTTAATTTCAATAATTAAAATTAAAAACTTACCCATTAGCCTGAACGGATATGCTAATTTAGCAATAGCTTTTAATGCTAATTTAGCAACAAAGCAGAACAAAATTACAATCAGATACCAAACAAATATAAACACATCTTAATCCTGTTTTTCCCCATGTATTTTCCTTTTGTCCTTAGCACCTATTCCCCACACGATATTTACTTCCGTTGGCATAATGAAATTTCGCCCATATCAGGAGCCAAGTTGGCGCAACCAAGGCTGTTCTCCGAAACTTATCCGATATTTTCTATAAACTCGAAAAATGAATTATAATTTATCTTAAACAGACATATAATCAGATAAGCAGTTTATACGTATATGTGCGTGTATGTATTCAAGGTTTCGCTAAAAGAAAGAAAAGGCACTCAGAGTTTTATATATATCCTCTATCTTCTTAAGGCTACGCATAGCGAGCTTACGAACATTTGCACATAATCCTTTTATTTTCACCATGATATATTTCATACGAGGTTTTATTTTAAATAAATTATTGAAATTGTAGGCTTAAAACTGTGCTAAATCTGTAGTTTTGTCCCATGCCATGAGGTGAATCATACTGTGGCTTGCCTCTAGTCTGAATTCGTGTTACGAGCTCAATTATGTGAATTTAAGACTGGCAACACGTTTTCCAAAAATCGCAAGTCAATGAAGTAAAGTAAGCGGTGACTGAAATTTTGTGTTACTTCCAATTAAATTGACATTTGTAAATTGTAAAGCTAAAAGATGAATATAACATCTGCTGGTATGTTTTATCTATTTACATACTGAACTAAAATATGTTATTTTTATTGACTACTTTGAAAAGAGTCGATATGTATATTTTTTCCGCGAAGTATAATTTTGAATCTATCATTTTGAAGTTATGAAGTATCGGAGAGCTCCGAAGAGCTCTCTGATACTTCATAACTTTAAAATTAATCTTCGTTGCTATAATAAGTGTATCATATTGCTAAAATGTAAAGGAATCAACTAGTTGTAGTAATTCTCTGCAGACGAAAACAAATGCTTAAATCGTTTGTTGAGTACTGAATTGTTTCTCGGAAAACCAGTAACGAAATATATTTACGCTATTTTGAAATCGTGTCTGAATATTTGAAAAATATTTTAATTCTTTTTTTTTTTTTTTTAATTTAATAAAGTAGGACAAGGAATAAGAATTCTGTGATTAAATTTTTCAAGTTTTTTTTTTTTTTTTTTGTATTTTCTGACTTATAAAGTAAATAAAATTGTTCTACCTTATCAGACAAGGCCTTTTCATTTATTATGTTGTAAAGTTTCAACTAAAAGGAGACTTTAGAAAGTTGAATCGTTTACTGACATTTAATATTCATAGGTGAGGTCAGGTTATTGTACTATGGCAAAGCGCATGAGGACTATCAACCAAAGGAGAGAGATGCTTTCTCAGAGGAGTTTCCTAGGCAGTGATGACAAACCTATTTTGGGTGACATGCATTTTCAGAGCTGTCGACAGAGCAAAAAGTTGCATAATACAGAAATATTTTATATCTTTCAGTGCTGTCATCATTGTGAACATATGCTGCTCCAACCTTGGGTGCATTCTTGTCAGATGGATAAACAGATAACAAACGGATGATTCTATATGTGATATGCACCAGATTTAAGCTAGGGTTCTTCTGGATTTTGTTATGTGTACCTCAAAATGTTGTCATCACTGTTCTAAGGGAAACTTACTTGTATTCATGTTACCTATGAGAAAATCAAGCAGCCAGGAGTTATAATCATGCAGCCAGCTGATTTCCTTCTGATCAAACAGGGGTCAAACTCAAAGTATTCAGTGACCTTAACTACTTAGCCACTGATGCAGCCAGTGTTAATCCCTTGACATACAAATGAAATATGAGTCTGAATAATACCATTTAATTTGGCTCAACTTTGGGCACTGATGTGCAAGCTTAGGAACAGAATGTTTTATTTTCAGATTTATATTGCTATATAACAATCATAATATACTGTGCAGCGTTTACCAAAGACAGTTCTTGAAGTCTTGGAGATGTCAAAGTTTCTAGTGGCACATGAAATCGGTGACATCTCCTGGCCATCATTGTATGTCAAGGGGTTAATAGAACAATAAAAATGGTATTAATAATTTTAAAAAAAATTGTATAAATGGCGTTTTAAATTTTTCAGAAAAACAAATATATTCTGAAATCTTAAGATTTTGATTGGTACTTTTCCGTTTTGCCGGCGCAAACGATAAAGTCGGCAATAATGGTTTAACTGATGCCAGACGAAATATCTTCGCTGGTAACCTTTTACGCCTCAGTTTCAAAACAAGTTGAAGCCATTTCTTTATCAGATTGTTTCTTTCAATACTGGCATATAGAATTTTTACCCGATATTTAAATTTTATCCCCTAAGACAATTCACGGTAATAAGTCAATTAGAACGCAATTACATGCTCATCCGAAGGCGAAATCAAGTGTTAAATTCATCAATTCTAATAAGAATGCACTTGCGAAGTAAAGCACTGCGGTTTTACATAATTTCTGAGTAAGCTATTCGTACGAATTGAAATAATTCTTGCATTTAAACTTGTATTCCAAATTAAGATTTAACTTGAAATTAATGTAGATAATTACTGAGCGAATTAGATTTTAGTAGCGTAGTTTACGTGAGATGAGATCACTTGGGGTCACGTGATACGAACCGGCGAATCATGATTTTGAACCATGAAATCATAGTAAATTCTTAAATTAATGTCTTTTTACAAATTTATTGTCTTTATTATTGGCTTTTTACAAAATTTTAAACCATATTAAAATGTTTATGCCTTCAAAATAAAAAAAAAAAATTCTTAGAATTAACATTTTTTATGTGTATACTGTATGTTGTCGCCAACAAAGTCTGCTTGGCGAGATTTGCGCCGGCGAAACGGAAAACTACCTTTTGATTTAATATGAGCCATTGTGATGACGGTTAATGTTTGGATTATGGTAACTTTTCGATTTTTTGGTGAAAATTTGGCAACCAACTCTGCTACAACAACCCTCTATTTTTTTTTCGCCGCCATTTTGTCTTCACGAAGTAAAGACATGTTTCTTTTCTTTTTATTTACTGAACACTTTTTCCAACAATCTGCTATCCGAATTACACTTATGCTAGAAATTTTATGGAACAAAACTGCTTAATCATGACAAATATTAACTGCCAAATTCGGAAAAAGTGCAGAATCGCAAACTCCTTGCCGCATTTTTCAGAATCGCATGTACACATAAACCATGTACACGTCGACTTATTTTTACTTAAAAAAAAATCCCAGAATTGCACAAAAATGGCATTGCACACACTCTTAACTTTATCCATCTACACTTCTATTTTCTCATAAATTAGAAAAATTTGCAGGAAAATTTTGTGAATCTTTAAACTCGTTAAAAAGCACATATATGAAATTACCTGATCGCGAAAAAGTATATACCCTTTCCAAGGATGAACATTTCCACGTATAAAATATCCAAAAACTTTTACCTCTAAATTATCTATTATAAACGTCACCAACAAATTCATAACGCAAACATTAAAAATGGTTGTAAATACTTAAATTGGTACAACTCTAATATACGCCCTAATTTCACCAAATGTGGCGATATGTGTTCTGCACTGGTTTTTGGCGCGATTGCGTGTTCTATGGCAACCATGTTGACGTTGAAAAATCTTTCGCTGGAGCTCGTTGGTTCGCCTCTGTGTCTGAGAAGATGGGAGGGAAAGATAAAATGGTAGTTGTTGAATTGAAGTTCGGCAAAAGGAAATATGATAGTGGCTATTCTGTTGAGGGGTAGTGGGTATTTGAAACTGTGGAAAGAGGGTCTGGGAGATTATTTTTAATGGCAGTGCATGATAGAAGTAGGGATTTGTGAACCATAGTATAAATTTTCTGTATAGTGTGTCTGGCTGTCATGTAAATACGATAGTGATTACGTGGCGGCATGTTAAAGGCGGTATGAAATTTATATTTCTGCTATTCGAAAACGCATTAATTCATGGTAAGTGCATTTTATTTTATCCTTGTTCTTATTTTGTAGAATGTTATGTTCATTAGTTCTTTAGTATGGATTTCTGTCATTATTGTTGTTTTTTTTAATTTTTTGAAATTTATTTTAGTTTATTTTGTTGTTTGGTGTCTAGACTGTACAATTCGTAGGTGTTTTTAAAGTTGAAACAGAACGTTGTGTACATGGTATTATTTGAAATTTATTGTTGTTATGTTATTTTATTAAAGCGAGGAGTGCGTAGATCGTAGATTCCTTCCTTGCCTAAATTGTGCAATTCGTAGAATTTTTTTTAAGTTTAAACAGGATGCTGTGTACATGGTATTCTTTGAAATTTATTGTTGTTATGTTAATTTATTAAAGTGAGGTGTGCTGTAGTTTGTAGATTCATTCGTTGCCTACATTGTGCAATTTGTAGATTTATTTTTAAAAGTTTTAACTGGATAATGTGTACATGGAATTCATTGAAATGTATTGTCATTATGTTAATTTATTAAAGCGAAGTGTACATAGTTTGTAGATTTGTTTGTTGCCTAGATTGTGCAATTTGTAGATTTTTTTTAAGTTAAAAAATGTCGCTGTGTACATGGATTCTTGTCAAATATTTTTGGTTAGAAACTTTACGTTTTTGCTATCTAAATTTTTTGTTTTTGTTTCGGATTTTTAGCTTAAATTGTGTGTTCAAAACGTAGTTTTTGCATGTGCGAAAACGTGCGTTTTTGGAGACATTTTAGGCTTAAATGTTCAAAATGTAGACAAAAAATTTAGATAGTAATATGGCAGCGTGAAGATATTTGGCGAGAAATTTGGCGACTTGAGGGCGCATATCAGAGTAGTTCCCTTAAATTATTGCCATGCACGTTTACTTCCACTGAAACGTATACCAAATTTCTACAAACATATAATTCACAAAATAACTATCATTTAATTAAAATATAATTAAATTAAAAAACACTACTTAAAATATAAATAAGCACATACATTAAATTAATAAAAATTAGCTTACAATCCTAATTACTTTAAACTAAATCATTGCTAATAACAATTTTTCAATAATACCATATTACTTTATTTACTCCTTACATTTAGAACAATGCATAAAAATAATATCCTCAAATAATTAAAAATACTAACTTACCTAATCTTCTTCAGAATCTTGATTATGTGGCGGATAAACTTTTCTTATAGATTAAATAATCCAGTAGTCAACTGGCATTCTATTCACCCACTAATAAGAAATTAATAAAATTTCCCCCATACTCAAGTGACTTTCAGCAAACCACGTACCCTTCCTTACACTCCATTTCACAAAATGTCCATTTTCACCAGATTTCTTGCACCGCCATTCAAACTTATCTGTAATATCCTTCCTTTCACACAATCTCATTTCATTCCCACATGTTGGACATTCATACTTATCCACAATTAATCCTACACTCATACACCATTCAACCAATTCTTTTGAATTATCAGATAAACGCATTAAAATTTTAAAATTCACTTTAGATAGCGCCATGCAATCCAAAAATTAATCAACACTTTCACACAACACACAATGAAGCTTAATACAAAATAATATAGTACTACAGATATTTTTCCAAATTTTACCCCCTTTTCCGATTAAAGAACTGTAATTCGTCCATTAATGTCACATGACATATCTCATGATCTCTCATTTCCCTCACACAAAATAATGCGTAATCAGAACTGAGTACTTCTCACATTATTACCAAAG